TAGTAGTAATAGTAGTCGTCGTCGTCGTCGTAGTAGTAGTAGTAGTGGTGGTCGTGGTAGTAGTAGTAGTAATAGTAGTAGTAGTAGTAGTAGTAGTAGTAGTAGTAGTAGTGTAGTAGTAGTAGTAGTAGTAGTAGTAGTAGTAGTAGTAGTAGTAGTAGTAGTAGTAGTAGTAGTAGTAGTAGTAGTAGTAGGTAGTAGTCGTAGTAGTGTAGTAGTAGTCAAGTAGTAGTAGTAGATAGTAGTAGTAGTAGTAGTAGTAGTAGTATAGTAGTCAGTAAGTAGTAGTAGTAGTAGTAGTCGTAGTAGTAGTAGTAGTAGTAGTAGTAGTAGTAGTAGTAGTAGTAGCAGTGCGGGTCGTAGCAGCAGTAGTAGTAGTTGTAGTAGGAGCAGTAACAGTAGTAGTAGTAGTAGTAGTAGTAGTAGTAGTAATAGTAGTAGTAGTAGTAGTAGTAGTAGTCGTAGTAGTAGTACTTGTAGTCGTAGTAGTAGTAGTAGTAGTAGTAGTAGTAGTAGTAGTAGTAGTAGTCGTAGTAGTCGTAGTAGTAGTAGTAGTAGTAGTAGTAGTAGTAGTTGTAGTTGTAGTTGTTGTTGTGGTAGTGGCGGCCGTAGAAGTGGTAACAGTAGCAGCACGAGTACTCGTACGAATAGTTGAAGTTGACGTTGCGGTCGTAGAAATAATAAGACTAAACAGAATAACGCCACTACTGGCGGTCGTAGAAATGGTAGCAGTGGCAGTACTAGTACTCGTACTAATAGTGTTAAAGTGGACGTTGTGGTCGTAGTAATAATACGACTAAACAAAACAACGCCACCGTGCCTCGGGCACGGAGTGGGCGTGTCCTCAGGTCGCGCGCCTCATCCTCTGAGCCTCAGCCCTCAATCCTGGGGGGTCTTTATGGGACCAGGACCCTTCGCTTTCAAACTACCGGGGCTTGCCGCGTGACCCCTGGGCCCTGGCGAGTCTCCCCGCGTGACCTTTTCGGACCCAAGAGAGCCGCAAAACGGGCCAAGAGGGCCCCAAGCAGCCCCCAAGACGGCCCAAGAGGGTCTCAAGTCGCCCAAAGATCGCCCCAAGACGGCCCAAGATCGCTCCAAGACGGCCCAAGAAGCCTCCGAGACGGCCCAAGTAGCCGAAGTAGCCGCGTCCAGCCGCGACTTAGAAGAGGACCCCGAGGGCCAGAAAAACTCGAACACCGATGTTCGAGGCGCAAAGTTCGAGCACCTCACTGAAACACTCCCCCTCGGCGCGCCGCCGACCATGACCTGTGGGCGGCGCCGGCGCCGTGCCGCCGCGACGGGCCGTCCCGGTTCGGGCTTCGAGGCTCCTCGGAAGCTCTCGCGGCTCTTGGGCCCACATCCCCGACGATAGGATTTTCTCCGTGCTGGCGTTTTCCCCTCGACTTCGCACGTCTTTCCCTCGACTTCGCCCTCCAGGGAACGGTTTCTGGCCCCCAGGACCAATGAGGAAATATCCAGGACGCAGAACTGCTCCCGAGAAAGGGGTCGAGATCTAAGAAAGGCTTGGGACAAATTCGCCGGCCCAACGGGAAAGAGGCGTTCAAAGATCTCCGGTAACTAGTGAACAATCTTCTAGTTCGCGCGCGCGGGGCGACCCCCGGGGGGCCCCGGACGAAAAGTACCCCGAGCAGGTCCCGGGCCAGCCCAACGGGCCAGAGGCGTGCCAAGATCTCCGGTAACTAGTTAACAATCTTCTAATTTGCGCGCGCGGGGTGGCCCCTGGGGGCCCCCGGAAGAAAAGAACCCCGAGCAGGTCCTGGGCACGTCGGTCCCAGCGATGGTTTTCTTCTTCGGCGCTGACTTCCAGGTCCCAGAGCACCCCAGGAACGCCCCAAGAGAGCCGAGACGCCCCCGAGACGATCCGAGGGGCCCTGAGTCGCCGAAAGATCGTTCCGAGACGCCCAAGATGGCCTCCAGACGGCAGAAGACGCCGCCAAGAAACCGCGGGGAACCTCAGGGGGCCCTCCAAGAGCCTGAACAAGCAAAAACCTCCCAGGCATTCGTCACCCCAGCTGCCTTCTGGAACGCCCCGGCGCCCAATGAATTGGCGAGCTAAAAACGTGCGCCGAGCCGAAACGGGAGCGCAACTTTGGGAAAATTTCGCCCGGCGCCCAAGCGGGAAGGTCAGTTCATTCACTTCGAGCGGGGGGGGAGGGGGGGGTGCCGCGCCGCATTCTTGCCATGCACTTTTGCGGGGTGGACGACGAGAACAGCTATGTGGGCAGGGAAAATCAGCATGGCACTGTTTCTGACAAGTAAGGTGGCCCCTCCCGCCTTGGGGTTGCCCCAGAAGTCCGCGCGCGATGTGCGCCGCGCCCCATTCCTGCCGCGCATTTCGCATCGTTGACGACAAGACAAGCCATGATGAAAGGAAAAACGGCTGCCCTGTATTGTTTTTTTTAGTCAGGATGGGAGGGCCCGCGGCCCGCATGGACGTCCGCGCGCGATGTGCGCCGCGTCCCACTCCTGCCACATATTTCGCACCGTCGGCGACAAGGCTGGCCATGCTGAGAGGAAAAAACGGAGACTTTGTATTGATTTCTTACAGTCAGGATGGGCGGCCCGGGAATGACGGCCGCGCGTGATGTGCGCCGCGTCCCATATGTGCAAGTCTCGGGCCAGCCCAACGGGCCAGAGGCGTGCCAAGATCTCCGGTAACTAGTTAACAATCTTCTAGTTTGCGCGCGCGAGGCGGCCCCTGGGGGCCCCCGGAAGAAAAAAAACCCGAGCAGGTCCTGGGCACGTCGGTTCCAGCGATGGTTTTCTTTTTCGGCGCTGACTTCCAGGTCCCAGAGCACCCCAGGAACGCCCCAAGAGAGCCGAGACGCCCCCGAGACGATCCGACGGGCCCTGAGTCGCCGAAAGATCGTTCCAAGACGCTCACAATGGCCTCCAGACGGCCGTAGCGCCAAGAAACCGCGGGGAGCTTCAGGAGGCCCTCCAAGAGCCTGAACAAGCAAAAACCTCCCAGGCATTCGTCACCCCAGAGCCTCCTGGAACACCCCGGCGCCCAGTGAATTGGCGAGCTAAAAACGTGCGCCGAGCCGAAGCGGGAGCGCAACCTTGAAAAAAAATCGCTCGGCGCCCAAGCGGGAAGGTCATTTCATTCACTTCGAGCGGGGGGGAGGGGTGTGTGGCGCGCACAGTTTTTGCCATGCACTTTTGCGGGGTGGACGACAAGAACAGCTATGTGGGCAAGGAGAATCCGCATGGCACTGTTTCTGACAAGCAAGGTGGCCCCTGCTGCCTTGGGGTTGCCCCAGAAGTCCGCGCGCGATGCGCGCCGCGCCCCATTCCTGCCGCGCATTCCGCATCGTCGACGACAAGACAGGCCATGATGAAAGAAACAACGGCAACTCTGTATTGTTTTCTAACAATCAGGATGGGAGGGCCCGCGACCCGCATGGACGTCCGCGCGCGATGTGCGCCGCGACCCACTCCTGCCGCACATTTCGCACCGTCGGCGACAAGGCAGGCCATGCTGAGAGGAAAAAACGGAGACTTCGTATTGATTTTTTACAATCAGGATGGGCGGGCCCGGATTGACGGCCGCGCGCGATGTGCGCCGCGTCCCATACGTGCGCCGCTTCCCACTGCTGCCACACATTTCGCACCGTTGGCGATAAGGCAGGCCATGATGAGAGGAAAAAGCGAAGACTTTGTATTATTTTTTTACAATCAAGATGGGCGGGCCCAGATTGACTGCCGCGCGCGATGCGCGCCGCGTCCCATTCCTGCCACGCCTCTCGCATCGTCGACGACAAGAAAGACGATGTTGAGAAGAAAAACGGCCACTTTGTATTGATTTTTTACAATCCGGATGGGAGGTCCCGCATTGGGTTGCTATTGGCCGGAATACGAGGTAGGTGGGGGTATATAACAATACGAAACAAGGATGTGTGTGTGTGTGTGAGTGCGTGTGTGCGTCCGCGCGCGTGCGTGTGTGTGTGTGTGTGTGTGTGTGTGTATGTGTGTGTGTGTGTGTGCGTGCGTGCGTGCGTGCGTGCGTGTGTGTGTGTGTGTGTGTGTGTGTGTGTGTCGACGCGGGGCCTATAAAGACTAAAAAGAAGCCCACAGAGGGCCCAGGCCCCACTGAGGGGCCAAAGCCACAAGGGGCCATCCCAAGACAGGGGGCGGGCCACAGGGGAACCCGAGAGCCCAAACGAGCCGCAGAGGCAGCCACCAGGGCACATCGGCCCCGAGGCACCGCTCGGCCTGTCAGCTCAGACCCCCGTCGAGGGGCATCAGCGCGAAGCGCTGGGATATATACACCAGCGCAGACACGCGGCGGGCAACGCCCCAAACATGCTTGCACAGCCCCAAGCGGCACGGCGAGGCGGGCGAGGCGCAGAAAACTTCGCGCCCACACGCCGAGGCCCGCGTCCACCAGGGGTCCAAAAAAGACGGACACAGCGGGAGGGCAGGAGGAGAGGCAGGCTGGCGCTCCACAGCCAGGGACGTCCAAGGCTCGGCACGCGCACGTTCGCGCGGTCCGAGCGCCCCAAGGCTGGGGCCAGCGCGGACTCGCTCACCTCCATCTCCGTCGTCTCTGCGCCGCTTCCTGCTCTGGCGCTCGCGACGGGCCTCGTCGGCCTCCTCAGCCCGGCTCAGCAGGCTCTCCTCATCGCGGCCGTAAGCATCCAGCCAGGCCTGCCGCGATAACGCACCCGCCACGGCGCCACCAGCCGCAGCGGGCAGCTCTGTCGAGGAGGAGGCCGCAGCGCCAGCGCCGCCCCCAGCAGCGTCTGCCGCCGAGGCGCTGCCCTCGGCGCCAGCTGGGCCATCAGGCTGGGCCCCGAGCCACTTCAGGAAGCGCACCCTGGCGTCCTGCGGCACCTCGGCCTCCTTGCGAAGGCGGGGGGCCTCCGCCCCCTTCCTCCGCGCGTCGCGGGCGCGCGGCGTGCCCCCAGGGTGGAGGCCACGCTCCCGCCGCGACTTCTGGTCCCGCAGCGACCTGGGGAGGCCCGTTGCGCCAGGACAGCGAGCGCTCCCTGAGCTTGAGCTGCGGGCCAGGGCGTCCGCCAAGCCTCGCATACGCACCACATCTGGTGCACGCAATGATCTCCTGCTGGTCGCCGTCCTCGCCGCGCCTGGCGCGCGCGAGGGCGTGGCCTGCGACGGCGGAGACTAGGGCGCCCAGCGCGACTCCCCCGTCACGCGCCGCCGAGGCCCAGGCGCCGACAGCGGCGGGGCGGCTGCTAGCCAGCTCCCCACGGGCCCCAGCGGCGGCGGGCGGTGAGCCCGACCTGTTCACGGGAGCCGCCCGCGGGCCGTCAGCACACTCCTCCAGCGGGACCGCGAAGGTGACAGCAGTCCTGTGCTCGTCGCACTCAGGAAGGCCTTCGCAGTCCTTGGAGTCCCTGTCCTGGACGATCGAGGCCTGCGCGATCCACCTGGGGAGCTCTCTCACGACCTCCATCGTGCCGAAGAACTCCCGCCTGGCCGCCGCGCTGACCATGTGGAGGGCCGCCCCCGCCTTCGCCAGCTTGTCGGCGTGAGCGTTCCCAAGCAGCTGAAACTCCGGGATCCTGCCCTCGCGAACATCGGTCGGTCTCAGTGCAGCGGGCCGCCACCTTGTTCACAATGAGCGAGTCGGCGTCTAGCGAGGCGTAGACGGCCGACCACAGGTGTGCATTGGGCTTGTTGGCTGCCGTCGCATACTTCCTGCCGAGCTTCAAGCAGCTGACTGTGGACGCACAATCGATGCTGATCTCGATGATCGAAGGCCCAAGGTAGCGGCTCAGCATCCAGACCGCGAAGTCCTCGCCGTCCTTCGCCGTCTGGAAGGGGCAAAGGTTGAGGCGGGCCGTGCCGTGCACCGCCGCCTCCAAGTTGCCGAACTCGTCGCGCTGCACGATGCTCCAGCCAGCCCTACGGACGCACTCAAACTCAGGGTCGAGCGCCGAGCCGTCGAGGAAGAGGCGACCGCCTAGCAGCCCGTCGGCAGGCCTGTTCACCCACATGACTGCCATCGCGTCCGACCTCCAGGCCGTCTGCGGGGGCTGCGGCAGCCAGCACCTGGAGAAGCACCCCCCCCGCCTCCTCACCTCGCTGCCTCGCTCGAGTGGCGCAGGGAAGGAGGCGGGCTGACACAGAGTCCCTCCTCTCAGCGGCCAGGGCCTGGCACTCGAAGGGCCTGTGCCAGAGGCTGCCACGCACTTCGCCACAGGCGCAGCAGCGAGGGCGGCCCCGCTCACCCGCCGCGAAGAGGCGAGTCTGCGGCCAGTGGGCGTTGGACAGGTAGCTCACCACCGCGGCCTTCTCCCTGCTGCTGAACCTGCCGTGCGGCCCGATGACCTGGCCGAGTGCGTCCCAAAACAAGGGCATGGAGGGGGCGGCTCCGTGCCCAAGCCGCGTCATATCAGCTCTGTCGGAGGCCCTGCGGGCACCTGCCGCAGCAAGCAGCCCGAGCTCGCGGGGGCCCATGATCAGCATGTCCAAGGTGTGGCCGTCGTCGGTGTGCAGGATGTGCCCAGCCGAGAAGCGCCAACCGACCCGCAACAGAGAGAGGGCCAGGGCGTCGACTGGGTTCTTGCAGTTCACCCAGGGCACCCTGGCGCTGCCGCGCGCGCGCTCGGCCTCCTCCAGGCAGGTAACGAACATCCTCAGGGGCACCTCGCCCGTCTGAAGGAGGCTGGCTGCCACCTGCACCGCGGCGCGCACCAGGGCTGGGCTCGGGTCCAGGTCGGTGGAGCGCTGCACCTCGATCGCCCTGAGCCTCAGCCCAAGGGAGGCGCCCTTGGGAAGCTTCCCTGCCGAGCGCGCTGCCGCCAGGCGCCAGGAGTGAAGCTCGCCGTCGGGCACCCCTGTTGCCGTCCTGCCCCACAGCATGGCGGCGGTTGGACCTGCGCGGCGCATGTGCACCACCGAGGCCCCCGCCGAGCCCAGGGTTCTCAGCCGCCCGGCGCGGGAGAGGCCTCCCACCGCGCGGGCGCCTCCCTCATGGACCCATCGGCGGGTCACGTTGGCGTCGGTGCCCAGGTTGCGGGCCTGGGATCCACGCTGGACCTCGAAGCCCAGGGCGGCCCAGCTGGCGGCGAGGCCATCCGCCACCTGTGCAGACGAGGCCAGGAAAACGGACTTACCCTCATTGAGCGGGAGGTGGTGGGCCTGGAGGTGTCGCAGCACCTCCCCGCTGGCCCCCACGAGCTGGTCCACGACCAGCCTCGCCGAGCCAACAGCTTGGAGCGAGACGTCGTCCACCAAGTTGCGCAGGGTGGCAAGCGGCCGCTGAGCCCCAGCCGCGAGGAGGCCTCCAAGAAGGGGAGGCTTAGCAACAGCCGTCGCACACGCGCAGCCCGCCAACACTGCGCCACTGGCCCCAAAGGGGGCCGAAGCCATGCCACCCGCCAGCACGATCCTCGGGGCCTGGTAGATGGCGAGGGGGCCGCGCAGCAGCTTCAGGTCGAAGCCAAAGCGTTGGGCTGACATCCAGAGGACGTCGTGGCGCACGTGCTCGTAGAACTTGCGGATGTCCAGGAACAGGCTGGCCACCTCGAAGTGCGGGGAGGCCATCGCGTAGCCCGCGAATCAGTTGTGGATCCAACCCGCTCTTTCGCAATCTCGGTCATCGCGACCCCAGAAGAAGGGGAAGCTGTGGTCTGACTCCCATCGGGCACAGCACGGCTGCCTCAGGCGAGACCAAAGCCGCAAGGCCAGCGGGAGCAGCGCGATGGGCCTCGTCCCTGCGTCAGCTTTAGGAATAAAAACCACGAGCGTCACATGTCCCCTGATCGAAGAAGGCTCGTCCTCGAACGCCGTGAGGATGTCGATCAGGCGAAGCTGCAGCGCCACTGGCAGCAGGAGAAGCTGGCGAGGGTGCAGGTTGTCGCAGCCCAGCCCCACAGACGGGCCGTAGCGCCTGCACGCCGGCTGCAAGGCCTCCAGGGTGATGGGCGGCAGCGTCCAGGAACCAACATCCCACTGGTGGGCTCCGACTCCGCTGGAGAACCCTTCCTGGAGCCGGAGCCGCTGCCATGTGCGCGTGAGCTGGTCGACGGCGTCCATGCCGACGAGGGGCCTCCCTGTGTCGGCGTCCCTGACCACGGGCGTGGGGGCCGCCTTGGAGAAGCGGTGTGCCAGGCGGCCTCCTTTCTCCACCGCCGTCTGGGCCCAACTGCGCCAAGCGGCAGCTCCTTCAGCGGCATCGCGCCTCTGGGACGCCAGGAGCCACGACTGCAGCTTGGCGATCGCCGCGGGGCAGCCCTTCACCCCCGCGTGGAAGGCGAGGTCACCCCACTTCTCGTCGGTGGCCCCACGGAGGGGCGCGCTCCGAAGCCATGCCTCCTCCTGGGTCGCCTCGTCCAGGAGCTTCGCCCTCGCCCCAGCCTGCTGCTCATACCACCAAGAGTGGGTCGGGTGCCACCTGCTGGCCTGCTCGGCACGAAGCCTCTGGAGGGCGACCGCCAGGCAGCTCCTCAGGCGGTGGGTCAGCATGCTGTGCTTCAGCCTGGCCTCGCGCTGCACCAGCGCGCTGAAGGGCATGCGCCTGGTCTTGGGCCCTGCCGCTCGCCCAAGCTAGCGTGGCAGGTCGCCTGGCGCAATCTCATGGATGCCCGTGAGGGTGCCCTCCGCCGCCTCCATCCACTCGCCGAAAGCAGCAGAGAGGCAGGTCGGGTGCGAACCCTGAGCCCATGACCAAGCTACATCCTTCTGCGACACCTTCCCGCGCTCGCCGACAGTGAAGGCCTGGGCCAAGGCGTCCTCGTGGGAGCGCAGACCCTTGACCTCCACCTCTGGAAACCGCGCAGGACGGGAGGGCACCTCAACCAGGGCATCGCACCTGACGTCCTGGAGGCGCAGCAGCACAGGAGAGTGCGGGCGCAGTCCGAAGTCGTTGAGCGTGGTCGCGCAGGACGCCGTGCACGTGGCCAGGTCGGACGACGCGACGAACCAGTCGTAGACGCGCTCCAAGCCCTGGGCAACGCAGGTCGCTTCAGAGGGCCCGAGCACCTGACCGCGAACCGCTGCAGGCCGGCCCAACTCCTGCAAGGGCTCGGGCTCCATGTTGAAATCCGCCTGGAGGACCCAGGGCAAGTCGACCGAGAATGCCACGAGGTCCGAGACCGAGGAGAACAGGTCGAGGTTGATCCCCCGCGGGCCCAAGGAGTGCTGGAAGTGCCCTGCCAAGGCCAGGAGGCGGAGGCCCGACGGCGCCGCCACCTCAACGCCGATGAGGCGGTGGTGCAGGGCCGCAGGGAGCTGGCATGCAGACTCCTCGGCCTGGAGTCCAGCCCTCACCAGGATCGCGACGCCGCCCGACGTGGCGTGCGGGCCAGGCTGGCCCGTGGCCACCGCCTCATGAAGAAGGCGGCGTGGCCGAGGCGGCGTGCCAGCGCCCTGGCCCCAGGGAGCCGCTCCTGGGTGAGCCTCGTCTCCTGAAGGAGGACCAGCTGTGGCCAGTACTGGTGGGCGTGGAAGAAGGCCTCGAGGACCTCGACGCTCCTGTTCCAGACGTTCCCGCTGCAGCCCAGGACCTCCAGGCCAGCGCGCAGGGGGCAAGGTCCTCGAGGGCCAGGCTCAGGGACTGGCTGCGGCCCGAGGCGAGCCTTGCCAATGCAGGCCTCCGGCGCCGTCATCCTCGTCCTCTGGCCACTTGGCACCTTGGCTTCGCTAAGCCCGTCGAGGGTCTCGGCCACCCGCTCGTCAGCGGCCTCAACGGGGAGCGCGGGGGGGTGGGGGGCATCGGCCACCCGCCCGTCGGCGGCCCTCATCGCTCCCCCTCGGCCAGGTGCCGCTCTCGTAGGTTCGCCCAGGCCCTGGGAAAGGCCTTGGGCTCCCCACTCCGCCGGCACCTGCTCACTCAGGCGCCGTCTGACCCTCCTGCTGTCAACCGAACACTGGCCTGCCGAGCCGATGTCAAACCCAACAGCGGCCCACAGCAGCAAAGCCCCCAGCAGCAGTAGCCAGCGGCTGGTCGTCGAGGAGGGCTGCCCCAGCGTTGGCCAGGTCCCTAGCCAGCGGCTGGGCTGAGGGCCACGCTCCGTGCGCCTCTCCTCGGCGCGCAGCTTGGCCGCGCTCGGCCGCGCCCTGCAGGGGGGGCCGACGACGCCCGCGCCCGCTCCTCCTCATCTCCGTCGAGGTCCTCGTCCGAGACGTCGAGGGGGGTGTCGGCCCAGGAAGAGCGCCCCCTGGCCTCGGGGGGAGCGCGCCTGCGGACCGCTGCAATCTGCTTGGCGACCTCAGCAAAGGCGGCCTCCCCATTGCCCGCGGCGAAGCCCCGGGGCAAGGCCTCGACCTGCTGGATGAGGCCGAAGACGATCCCAAGCAAGTCCGTGCCGATGAACGCCGCGCCGACCTCTTTGGCCTGCCTGGCCTCTGCGGCCCTCTGCTCCACGCGGTGAGCCTCGAGAGCAGCTCGGCACTCCTCGACCGCCTCAGCGCAGGCGGCCTCGCGCGCGATGGCCGCCTCACGCTCTCCGATGGCTGCCGCGTGGGCCTCCTCTGCCTTGAGCAGCGCCTGCTCCTTGGCCCGCCCCTGCCTGACCAGCTTCCCCAGGGCGTTGCCAGCACCGTGGAGCGCCTTGGGCAGGGGGGCGTCGGCCTTCTTGCGCTCCGCCTGCGCCGCCTCGGCTGCCGAGAGCCTGCGCCGCTCGCGGTCGAGGGCCGCTCGCAGCGACTGCAGGCACCCTTCGTCGATAGACCCGCCAGGGGCCGCGAGGAAGTCCTCGAT